CGCACCGCGCGCGCGCGCGCACCGCACGCACCGCGCGCGCGTGCGCACCGCACGCACTGCGCGTATGCACCGCGTGCCGCGCGCACGCGCCGCGCGTGGTGTTGTTCATGTCCTACATACCCTAGCGCGCGCATTCTCAAAGCCTCTACATGGCATTCCTCTTGAGTTTAGATAAAGAAAGCATAACCTTTTTTGGTACAGGTGTCTGTATTTTTTGTTGTCGTCTGGCTTTATACACCGGAAGTCTGTTCTAGACAGAGAGCTAGTCATATAACCTTGCTTAACTACCCATAGTTTGCCCGGATGAAGGATGGCGGATGAAGATCTGGATCCCTGATCTGAGGACCAAATCATGGTACATACATGTAAGTCTCCGAGTATTCGGATCAGGGCACATGCCCAGCATTAGAAGCATCACTCGGAGAAAGGCGAGGATTGAGAGAGCTTAACTCCCCCGAGGCCCCTACCTCGCTCTTGTTCAAACAGGTGTTCCGTGCATGTGTGATATATATATATATATTTATTGTTGCTAGCATCGCGGAAGGGCTTGGGTTGGAGGCTCCGGGTCAGACTTCAAAATTGGGGCACTTTACGGTTTTTGCAATAAAGCAAGCCAGCCATCATTTTAAGGAATTTCGAGGTGAAGGACTATGTTCCACTGAGCTTGCAGCGCTTAAGCAGGAGCAGGCTGGATGATGTTGAGGTGAGCTTGATTACAAAGTATGGGGAAGGAAGCTGAAGCCCACACTCGCCTCGGGCATTGATATCTTTCAAGCGGCTAAGCTTAAAACTCCAAACGTTGAAGTCTTAAACCAGCCTCAACCTTTTTTAGGCATCAGGCAGAAGTAGAGGGAAGATATTTCATCATGAATTTCTCAAATCCGGCGGCCTGTAGTGGCGCGGTCGCTCCCGAAGTCCGTATAAGACATGGTGACTTTGTGACGTTGGGCATTGAGACGCAACTGGTAAGCAGCCGTGATTATCAGACAACGTCATTCCGGATCTTTATTGAACCATTCCATCCTTGCTTGGGCTTATGGATTTGTAAGATCAACTAGCTTAGCCTGGTCCGGGCTTGGTTCTCTTCGGAGAGCAGGGAAATCGATTGTAGCATTGATCTCAAAGAGTCGCCCTTGTCGTGTTTCTCTTCCTCCTCATCCTTTGCTCCTTGTCCTCCAGGAGGAAGATGAAAGGTAGCGGCAGCAATCATTGTTGTCATCGAGCAGGAAAATGACAGGAGTGGCTCACGATGAGTCATAATTTTGGACCCTTTTTGTACAGCCCCCCCTCAACGATTGTTAGTACCAGGCCACCTCCCAAACTTGCCGCGCAATGAAATATCGTTAGAAACCTGAAATCTCCTGAAGCTGGTATTGATTGCCGCAGTGGTGTTAGGACTGGCACTACCGTTAGCCTTAAATATCTTCTTCAAACATAAGAAACCAGCCGGAAATCCATTCAAAACCAATTAAATCAAATCAAAGTCAATTCAGATCCAATTTAAGTCAGTTAAAGCTTATTCCGAATCAATTGATGTCTGAAATCTAATGAGGCGTTGATCAAGTTTATAATCAACATCACCTGGAAATCTTCTGTACATCAATTAAGGTTCAAGTAAAACCAATTGAAATCAAACTAAGTTCAATTGACACTAATTGAAAATCTAATGAGAACTCCCTATAACATATAAATCGAGTCTATTCAAGATCAATTGAAATCCAAATAGCATCAATTGAAAGCACAAGACGAATTCGAAATCCGCTTAAGATCGATCGAAAATCTAAGTAGAACTGAATAAAATCTATTTGGAATCAATTGAGAACCTCATTAGCGTCAATGAAGATCTACTTCAAAGCAGTTGAAATCCAGTTAAAACCAATCTAGAAAGCAATGAAACCAAGTAACAAATCATTGAAATCTATTTACGCCAACACAAAATCATCCGGAACCTAGGTAAAACTTATTGAAATCCGATTGAAATCATGTGCAACTTTGAGTCAAATCCAAAAAACAAGGGTTTAGGGTTTAGGGGTTTAGGGTTTAGGGTGACGGATCGTATGTTTTCGTATCATCCCGAGAAAGCGTAAATGGAGCTGGGGTTAGTTTCTGGATTTTGGCGTGTCTGATATCTGGCCTTATAGGTAAGGCTCTGGTGCTAGAGCTCTGGACTGCAAATCCTTTAAGGCCTGAGGCCCAAAGCCTTCAGTTTTAACGGTATCCTTGTCTAACAGAAGAAGTAGTCTCAGGCAGCACTTGCAAGCTGTTTCGGCAATGCTTCTCTCAGCGAAAACAACAACAAAAATCAACATTGTTGCATTTGGTTTTTATTTGGGCTTAAAAATATTTAGTATTCCCGACCCCTCAAACAATACCAGATCCTGAATAATTTCCCATAAAAAAGTTATTCAACCACGTCCGTTGTGTAAGGAGGGTCCAACATTACTTGCAACGATGATGGTACCAATAGTGCTGGCAACAAAGTCCCCAAGAAGTTGCAACCATACAAGTAGCAAGAACAAAGTAGCAGGTAGGAGGAAACATTGCGCTGTTATGATCAGGCTCAAGCTTCAGAGTCATTGATTGTCCGAGGTTTTGCTGCATTGCTGGGACTGTCACGAGACTTCAGGTGAATCGTGTTACTGCCGCTGTAACTAGTGCTGCTGCTAGTTGTTTTGTCAGTATAAGTATTATCTGTGCCGCAATCATGGAAGTTGCCGTTGCGGCCTTGGTTGCGGTGCCACCTGTGGCCTACTATGCTGCGCAGCGCTCGCGCAACGCGGTGGCTGAAAGCTGGAGCCGCATTGGCGACTTGATTAAGGTTGTTGAGAGCCTAGGGCATTTTTGATAGGAAGCTTGATTCCATGATTTTTTTTATGAGTGTTACAAAATTTTGGGCTGATTAAGATGTTGTTTTCGTGGCATGTCGTATGACTGCAAGCGTTCGCTCGCGAAGTGCAGCCCACACAGCTTTGAAGCCAGGATAGCTCAAGCTGCTGAGACCCCGATCAAGATGTCTGCTGATGTAGAGTAATGCTTCATCGGCTCAGCTGTGAGGTTTTAACTCGTTAGGCCCAACCTAGCTAAGCTGGGGCGAAAACCCGGGCCATACGGTATCCTATATCGAACTGACACAATTCGTCGGATGTGCCAGATCATGGGAAAACGGTAAGGGTCAAAAAGATACCGTGGTAAATCATGTTGTTTGCTGGGAATACGATGAGGTTAGGCAAAGGCGATAGCGTGTTAAATTGGATAGAAGGCTGGCCGCCAGGTTTTGAGCGCCGCTGAGGTGATTTGCAGGCACTCGGCAACCATGATGGTGACCGGTCCAAAGTAAGGACGTTTTGTTTGCTTTCATGCATGGCAGCCTGAATTTGAGAAGTTCTGCTGTAAGTCAAACATGTGAGTGGGGAACTAACCTTAATAAACATGTTGGGTGCTGCCTCGCAAAATGGCAATATGAAACCCGCTTCTCCATGACGCTATGGGCTGTGGTGAGCCGGGGGGGGGGGGGGANNGGGTGCAATCATAGATGAGCAGAATATGGACTAAGGAGTCATCAGCAAGCACTTCTCCACCGAAAGAAACACCGTTCTTCTCATTGGCAGCAGTGGCTTTGTAGGTGTTCGTATTCAGCAACTTCTGGTCGAAGAGGCGGGTCACAAAGCAGCCTTCAATCTTGTGTGCCTTGATGTGAACCCACCGAAGCAGATGAGACTCCTGACTTTGCTTGGAGGAGGGCTTGGCTTTGACTCTAGATTCCCCAACCGAAGGCATCCTACTTCCGCCCACGCCCTGCATCGGGGCTGTACCTATTAACGCATTGCATGTGGACTTATGAAAGCTTAGGAGAGGACATGGTTTACTTCAGCGGAGATCTTCGCGATTCCAAGCAACTCGAGGAGATTTACCAGGCTGTAGTGATGCCGAAATGAGGGCTTCCACAAAGAGGGGTCAATTTAATATGCCCCCAAGCACGAGAACCCTTATCATGAGAACCTCTGGAAAGAGGCTCCCCAAGAACAAAGAAGCTTCACCTTCACTTTCATCCAGCCCTAGGACGTATATAAGGTGTCTCGATGAAACCCCAAAATTCCAGGCTGACCCTTTGCGAAGGGTCCCAGACAACCCAAGCCCCATCAGGCTATGAAGGACCGCGGATACCCCATCAAGGGCACATTCCACCTGGCGTCGATCATCCCTTTTGTAGGGGTGCCGGAGAGTTTCATCATGCGCGTCAATGTGGCTTTCCTGAACGATGGGTCTCAGATATTCTGAACAGGGAAGCATACATCAGACGGTTCTGAATGAGGAGGGATTCTTAGAGCGCATAGCATAAGTTCACAAAATTCGTGATCCTTTGTGAGCGTCTACGTTTGAGTCTAGACTCTGGACACAGCGACTACCCAGTACCTGTAACTTGGGGGTTGACGTCTGCGGTCAGCCATCCTTTTGGACTGTATTGTTTTAGGCATGCTACTTCCTGACACTTGACTTTACGACTCCTAGTTTGCAGATGCTATTCTTATTGCTATGCCTATTACGATCCCTCTTATTTTCACTACTTGTATTATGATGATATCTAGCAGAATTACAGTCACTACAAGTAATTACCATCACAACGATCTAAGATTGTTGCTATTTCTAATACGTTCAAAGTCCGTTTATTGCCATTGCTGTCACTATAGCTGAGTTTTCTGATGTCACAGTGATAATCATTATCTCAGCAATAGACCCCAACAGCGATGGAAGAGCACCGCGGTTTCTCTTCGTCGTTATCTACGCCGTACGAACCCTTCGTGAGAGGTTTCT